AAAATCCGAGATTTGCTTTAACAACATCTTTGCGTTCAGCTCGAGAGAGTTAATCTTATTCTCAAAGGATTTTCGTTCAGAATCAAATCTTTTCTCAATTTCTATAATCTTATTCTTTTCTTTTTCCGTATATTTCCTTTCAGCAGTTAAAACCTTTTCCACCTTCAAAATCTTTTCTTTCTCTAAGTTCAAAAGCTTTCTTAGCTCAATCAAATCACTCTCAGACTTATGAAACTTCTAAGTTAAATCCTCTGTCTCTGTATTTTTTCTTGGAGTGTTTTTCTCAATTGAAAGTGCACTTCTAACCTCTTGGAGTTTATTGAGAAGATCTTTATTAGCTTTACTCCAATACTTCAAATCCTTATCATAATCTTTTCTTACAGATATGAGAGTGTTCTCTAGTTTTTCAACTTTATATTCAAATTCCTTCTCGATTCTTTCACATTCTCTTTAATGATCTTTCTTTAAATCTTTGATAGATTCCAGATTAGAGTGATTCTCATAGTACTGTTTTATGAATTTATCTTTATAATCCATTATGTTCTTTTCCAGCTCAACAATCCTCTCTCTCAACTTTTTGTCCTCTCTCTCATATGAAACTGCCATTTAAAAATAAATTGATTAGTTATAGGATATATGCAGTGAAATCAGTAAAAGAAGTTAGGAACAATTAAGCTCAAAAAAGAATAGAAAAACATAAAAACTGATGAGAATTTAGAAAAATGACAAGGAACTGTCAAAAATCAGTAAAAAAGTCAAAACTGTTGAAAACAGTTAAAAAACTGTTTAAAACAGTTAAAGACAGTTAAAACTGATGAAAAACAGTTTACGCGATGGAAAACAGTTCAATGATTCTCAAACAGTTTAAAAACACAAACAAAAACAAATAAACGAAATGATCCAAAATTAAAATCTAAACAAAAACTAAACCTCAAAGACTAAAGACACAACAAGACCAAGATGAAAGAAGCCCAAATACAAGGATATCTAATGATCCTATGACCAAGTTACAACAAAACCGGATAAAAGATCTCTGTTTACAATCTCAACATTGCTAAAAAAATCCCAAATTCTGTTTACAATCGGACAACTTCAAAACTTGAGTAAGATTGTAAATTCACACGCTCCTTTGCAGCTCCTTTTTCTAATCTCCCTCACCACTAGATGCAGACCCTGGATGGTATCTAGCTTTAGCAACAAGCTCAATATAGTCTCATCATCCCCTGTGAAATCAATACAACGAGGTCAAGAAAGCTTAGTGAGACGAAAAATCAGTAAATAACCTGTAGAGCCAAATAATTTACAAAACTTGTCAAGCCAGGCAATTTACAAAAGTTTGTGTGAAATACCTTGAAGCCTGGTGAAGAATTGAAAGTGAGACAAAAATATTCCAAGCTATGATGTGAGGTTCAAATATATCAACTACTGCCACTTGAACATCTGGGCACTTGAGTGCTATGACAGCAAACAAACTTTGAAAAATAGTTTGAATTCTGCTCACTCAAACAGTCTCTAAACAACTCACTAAACAATCTCTAATCAACTCAACAACCAGATTCTAAACTGCTCACTAAACAGTCTAAGTCGCTCAAAACACAGTCAGCTATACAAACAACAGTAAATCATTCAACACAAGGAATAAAATGCTAAACAAACTAAGTACTTAAAACGCTCAAAGCAATATGTAAATCAGGTCAACAAACAGTCTCTAAATCACACCACCACTAAACTGTTCTAATTCGATCAAAACATGGTCTTAAATCACTCATAATGAATTTGTAAATCACTCACAATGAGACTGTAAATCGATTAAGAACCAGCCTAAACTGCTCAAGCTTAACAGTCTTTGAATACTATCAAGTCTGCTCAAAACACACAGCTTAACAGGATCCTAATATGGTCAATCAAATTATCTAAACAGCTTACTAAAATGCAACCAGCTAAGGCTTTGAATGAGAGTAAACAAGAACTTTCTGTTCAGCTACTGGAATAGAACTTTCTGTTGTGAAAGTGTCACAATGAGATATTAACAGATTCTTGCACCAAGAAGAACTATCTGCAGGAGCCTGCTTGAAGTGCAAGTTCAATTACAGTAAAGCAACAAGTCCCTGTGTTTGAATTGCAACAATTGACTTTGAACAAAAAAAAAATAACTGGACAATCAATCTTTTGATTCAAAACTCTTCAAACCTGAACTTCAATCTTCCAGCAACATTCTGACTGATTCAATCTGTTAACTGTGCGTCCTTGCTTTGCATTAGCCTTAAAACAGTCAACAAAATAATCAACAAAGAATTCAACAAATCTGTGTTTCACAAGTATCAATAAAGACATCAGTATTGGTTCTTTCTTGGTTCTGCATAAGCTGTTTCTTCATAACTTGCCATACCTACTTGATCTTTACCTGGATCACCATAAGTTGGCTATGGACCGTGAACTTCTATCTGCCTTGCTAGACACTGCTGGATATTATCAATGGGCAAAAATGGTTGCTACTATCAAGGGTTAAAATCAAACCTACTTAAAACACAGAACCTGTAGATGACAATTCTTACACCAAGTAACAAATCCAGCCAAAATCGAATAAGCTTCGGTCATTAAATTGAACTCAAACAGATTATGTAATGAAAGATTCAAATCAAACAGTTTCAAATCAGCTGGGTTAAAAACTTCTGCACTAGTGCTCAAACTCAATCAACTCCAGCAAATCAAAACTTAAAATTTGTTCGATGAAGGATGAAATCAATTTCTACACACTCAACGAAATCATACTCAAACAATTAAAATCAAACGAGACCTTTATCTATGATTTTAATCATCCATATGCAAGCAACACAGTACGAAGAATATTATCTATCCAAATGAGCGATTTAGATGTCCGCTCAAACCACTAGTGATAATCGCTCAAAAACTCAAGATAAAACACAGAAACACTTACCTTGAAGACTCCCTGATTTGATCAGTTTGAATGATTTACCTTGAATCAAGCTGGATTGAGCGATGACAATTTAAAATAAAATTGAACAAGGAATCACTCGATGAACATTAAATCAAATACAAGTTTATGTCCTGTGAGCTTCACGTGAAAAACAAACATATTAGAAAAAGATTAGGTCAAACACAACCTGCAATTTACCTTGAAACACAGACAAGCTACCGATTTAGGATTGAGCGATAAAGAATCCGGTCACTTAACCGGTCAAGAGATGATCGAATCCGGACACTTATCCGGTCAAGAGATGATCGAATCCGGACACTTATCCGGTCAAGAGATGATCGAATTCGTACACTTATCCGCTGAAATAGTGTGCGATTTAGCTTGCGATGAAGAAACTGTCTTGAGCGATGAAGAATAAATGGTGAAACCAAGTCAAGATAAAGCCAATATCCGATCAAGAAGTAAGAGATAAAACTAAGATATGGGCTTAAAATCAAATGGGCCTTGGGCTGAGCGATATAGTGAACGATTTAACACAAAATAGTCAACCCAAAAATCAAAATCAGATCAAAAAATATCAAAAACACAAAAACACAAAAACAAAAAAAAAATTAAAAAAAGGGACCATACACTGACTTTAAAAAAAATCAAGAACACAAATTTTTTATAAAAAAATCACAAAAATACTAAAAACTTGAAATCAAATGATCAAAATGTAAATCTTTGTGTAAAACAAAGATTCACAACAAGTTTAAGCACAAAATGATTACGGTTTTAACACCAAAACTCAAAAAAATTGACAAGATTTTGGATCAAAATAAAAAAAAATAAGAACACAAAGAACTTAAAAAAAAATTCCAGAAAAAAATCTTCAAAGATCTTCAAATCTGTTGATCTTTTCTTCTAGTTTCTAGCATTTCAGCTCTGATATCAATTGTGTGTCCCACCTTAAGATCAATCTTCATTAAACTCCATAACAATGGCTGATCTGGATCTAACACTCAAGAACATTCATATGAGATTTGAGAGAGAAAGTCAACACTACAAAAGTGGTCAAACTTCACTTTACGTAATGTGTATATTACAATAAGCTCTCTACAACAATTACAAAGACAACACCCTATTTATAGAGTCAAACTTCTAAACATAGTCAAAGTCAAACTCCTAACTAAGAAAAGTTAAACACGATGACTTTTACAATTATAGACAAAATTTAACTTTCAAGACGAATACAATTTAATACTGATTTTCAGTCCTAACTATTATCTATCTCATTTCAAGTTCAAGACGGAATGTTTGGAAGACAAGCATGTGGATCATTCTCTACTTGATGTGGAAACATCATAAGAAAATGGATTTTTAGTGGGCCTAACCACCAAATCAATCGTCCTTTCACGACTAAACTCTGGCCATTTTAATGAATCTCCAAACAGGACAAGGGTTTCAAAACGTCATGGCCAGAATGGCATGAGGGTTGTAGGTTTGATGGGTAGGCCTTTCTATAGGAGGTGTTTGGTGGATGATTGTTTTGTTGTTTTTTGGTTTAGGCTTGGGTTGATATTTGAATAAATGAATGCGTTTATCTTGTAAAATATTCAATCAAATTTTTTTGACAAAACGTTGAATACTTGTAAATCAATCAAATTAGAAAACTAAGTGTGTACCAAACCCATATAACGTAGTAGTGCAAGAGTTTTTGTTTTAAACTCTTAATGAAAACTTAATGTTATTTATTACTAAAATTGAAATCCAAATTTTATTTTAGAGATTACGATTTTATATAATTTGTTCAGTATAAATTTATTATCATAGTTTTTTTAAAATAAAATGTTTTGTATAATACATATTATATGGTTAGATAAAAATATTAAAATGAACATATATTATTCTAGTTTTCTAGCACATGGCACGATGGAAATAAACAAACAAAGATTATTCACATGTCATTGCAACCAAATATATAATATTCAAGTTATTTATCCCAATGAGCAATCAGTCATAATTGATGGCTTTATTTCCAATTCCATTGGCCTATAAATATCATGCACTTCATTCACATTTCATACCAACAAAAGCATCCTTTCTCTCTAGAAAAACAAATCGTCCTTTTATTTCCTATCTTTTTTGTGATTCGTAAATCATGACTTCAGTTAGCATCAATATTGAGATTCCTTCATCATTTTCTGCCGAAAAGGTTTTCAAGGTGTTCAGTGATTTTGACACCATTGCACCTAAAGTAAACCCTGAAGTATTCAAGGCTATCGAGACGAGCGAAGGCAACGGAGGTGTCGGAACCATAAAGATCTTCACTTTTGGTGATGGTAAGAAACTATAACATTAGATAGTGGTTCTATTTCATCATTATCCAAATAGCTATATTTTTGCGAAGCCAATGATCATTGTCAGTTTGTACTAATTACGTTTTCTTTGTAAACATGATTTACCCACTACAGCCGTCCCATTTACAAGCGGGAAATATAAGGTGGATGCTATTGATGCAAACAACTTCAGCTATACCTACTCATTCTTTGAAGGTGACAACTTGATGGGCATATTAGACTCCATCACAAATCAAATTACGATCGTACCTTCTGCTGACGGAGGAAGCATATTCAAGCAAACAATCATTTACAACTGCAAAGGGAATGATAAGCCATCTGAAGAGGTTCTTAAAATTGAAAAAGAGATATATGAGAAAACCTTCAAGGCTATTGAGGCTTATGGTGTTGCCCATCCCGAAAATTATTGATTCATCTCCGTCAACATTTTTATCATGGTTTCAAATCCTCTCGGTATCATGTTTTATGTTTCCCGTTTTTAATGTGGTTTAAAATAATGAACAAGATTCTCGTTATCTAATTGTTGTACTATGTTCCCATCTGTTACAATCAAATATGATGAGCAACTTTGGATTAATTTTTTGCTAAAAGTTGTTTTGTTGGTCGATTTGTTTTGTTTATTATTATAACGTAGAAGATTACTTTTAATTGGTTAGATGTCACTGTTATAACCTTTATTAATTTTGCCAACACCTACTCACTAAGCTAAATTGAATTCAAAAGTTGACCTTCGTTATATATGCAACTACCATATTCTAAGTTGTGGAAAATGACATGTTCGTAGTCGATTATGGAAGTTTCTATAAAATAGGTTGATAAACAAAAAGAATGCTAAATTGCAAGTTTTGTAAAAGCTAGAAAATAAATGATTGGCGGATGGATAAATGTCTAAGTAATCCCAAAGTCCTAAAAGCTTTTGAGAGGTAACATATATACACATTGCAGCCAATTAGGAGTTAAAGTTTTCGAATGGCAAAATAGCCCTGTAACTTCTGGAGAAAGGGTGCCTCCTCACAACACTACTGGAAAACCAGGTATCAGCGACGAACATCAGCAAGGGAAAATATCCCTCGCAAATCAGTGAGGGATCAGCGAGGGAATTGTCCAAAAACTCATTCCCTCGCTGATCCCTCGTTCTTCTGCAAATTCCCTCGCTGATCCCTCGCAGATCAGCGAGAGAATTGCCAAAACTCGCTGATCCCTCGCTGATCTGCGAGAGATCAGTGAGGGAATGAGTTTTTTGGCATTTCCCTCGCTGATTTGCGAGGGAAATTTCTTCTGCAAATTCCCTCGCAGATCCCTCACAGATCAGCGAGGGATCAGCGAGGGAATTGCCAAAGAAACTCATTCCCTCGCTGATCCCTTGCTGATTTGTGAGGGAAATTTCTTCTGCAAATTCCCTCGCTGATCCCTCGCAAATCAGCGAGGGATCAGCAAGGGAATTGCCAAAAAAACTCAATCCCTCGCTAATCCCTCACTGATATGTGAGGGATCAGCGAGGGAATCTGATTTTCGCTTTTTTTTATAACTACAAATTTAATTACTTAAATTTTGTTAATTATTTATCATTTATTAGAGTATTACAAAAATTAGTTAATAAAGCTGATTAAGCCCACTAAAACTAAATAAAACCCATTAAGGCTCATTAAACCAAATAACACGAGCTGATGGGTATATATACTTATAACACATGCACATTTGGTTTGTTATATTATTATTTTCAGGTTTTTTTATAAATAAAGACAGGATTTTTGCAATTTCAAAAAATTATTTTTTAAATTTATACAAATTAGCGACGGATTAGTGAGGGAAAATCCATCGCTGAAAGTCCTTGAAATTCCCTCGCAGATATGTCGCTGAAAGTTTCGTCGCAAATCCGTCGCTGAAAGTTCCCTCGCAAATCCGTCGCTGATAATTCCCTCGCAAATCCGTCGCTGAAAGTTCCCTCGCAAATCCGTCGCTGAAACTTCCGTCGCAGATCCGTCGCTGAAACTTCCGTCGCAGATCCGTCGCTGAAAGATCCGTCGTAGATCTGTTGCTAAAATTTTTCGTCGCAGATCCCTCGCTGATCCATCGCTAAATACTTTCCTCGCTGATCCGTCGTTGAAAGTGTCCATCGCAAATTCGTTGCTGATATCTATCGCTGATAGCATCACCTACGACTATTTGACCGACGGAGAATCAGCGACGGATCAGCGACGGATTGCCCTTTCAGCGACGGATTTGTGAGGGATTTTTCCCTCGCTGATATTCTGCATTTTTGTAGTGCAAAGGGGGTCGGTTCAAGTTCCTCTATCCCCAAAAAGACCATTTAACAATCACGAATCATGTGTGTTTCTTGTAAGATTGAGAGTTTTTGTTCAACCTGTAGTCCCATATAAAAAAAGGGCTGGTATAAATTTTTGAAGATTTTAACTTTCATCAAAGTCCGGAACATGAGAAACAAAAAGAAGTTAAAAGAGAATAGGTTACTACCTCACCTGATGCTGAGTGGTGGTTGTTGTCCCGCCACTGCACTCGTGCTCTACTTTTAGAACTCGATGAAAAAATAACTTCTAGTGATACTTTGATTGCAATCTTTGGATGTTGTTGATAACCGATAAACCAAAAACAACTAAACCAGTCGTATTATGATATATTCAGGCATGACACCTAGATTTTGAATATTGAAATATGAGAACTAAAAGAAGTCCCCTAGAATCAAACCGTTGTCATTGAGTATCATGAGTAGATATCTTTGTTCTTTGAGCCCTCTAGGTATTTCAATCATTGAATGAATCGGGAATAAAAGTAAGAAGAAGATCAAAGTGTCATGATATAAGCATATTTATGTGACATTCGTCATTTTTGAGCTTCAGGTTAGCTCCTTTATAGGGATTCTATATTTAGAATATTATTTTATTAGAATCTAGTCATGATGATTAAAATTCATCTAGCTTAGTTCCCAAATTATAGGTTAAGAGAGCCTTGCTTTGTCGGGTAACTGATAAAGTTAACTTGTGTGATGCCAAATATATTAAAAATGTTCCAAATGAAATAAAGTTGATATTATTAACATCTAAATTAAAATATGAAAGTCTCATTTGAATGTCCAAATAATTTTATCAAAAGATGGAGCTTTGTGTTAATATTGTCATTTTTTGTATATAATAATGTTTGGCAAATTGTATTTTGATTATAAATTAATTGGACTTATTTATGTTTAAAAGAAAAATAAAAGCTTTTAGTGGGTTTGGGCCTTTAAAAGCCAGCCCATTATCTTTTTTAAAATTCATATATAAATACCCCACATCCTTTGAAACTCTCATTTCCAATTCTCATTTTGCTTAAACCTTTCCCCCTCTCTAATCTCTCTCTCTCTAAATCAAACCCCCTCCAGCCGATTCCATCTTCAAGAACCTTTAGAAAATCTGTCAATCTTGAAGGATATTCAAGATTTCAAGAAAAATGTATTATACTAGTTATCTTACCTATTTTAAATACCAAAAATCCCTAATTATTCTATTCCTACTTCTTGTTCTTGTAAATAAAGTTTCTGGGGATTTCAAAAGGGGAGATTGTATATCCAAGACATGAAAATGTCTTCAAATGATGGTAATCTATGAACCACGAACTTTGAACTCTAAGAAAKTAGGAGAAAACCCAATGCATGTCGAATCTAATCATGAAAAGATGTATTTTGAAATCAGGCAGAATCTTGCATGCATCTCAAATCGGTTTTATCTTCCTCAAAACTCAGTGGAATTGGGTAATCCTTTTCTGGAGATTAGCCTTATTTGTTAGCTTAAAAATAGAGTTAAAATCTTTGAAAAATGAAGAGTTCAAACCCCCCAAATGGCCGTCACTCGAAGAGTGTGCAATATGTTTTGGGGGCTGTGTCACTCAGGGTTGTAGGGTATTAATGAGTGTCTTAAACCCATTCAAAACTCTTGATATTTGGGAAAAAGTCTGTCTAACTCATTATTTTGGATGATATAAAAAGTTGGACATAAAATGACTTTTGGAAGGTTCCTTTTTGCGATGATTCGTGAGACCAAAAATACCAAAAACAGAATTTATATCTGTCCATATAGCAGCTTTTTTGCAAAGGACATTGATTTTGAAATATATAATTTTTGGTCTATTTTTAAAACAATTAATAAGAGTATCAATTTTAATCCATAAAAACCGTTCACATTACATAAGAAATAATTTGACTTTATCTTTATCGGGACTCGTTAGGCGATCTAGCTATTCGATTCAGACTGTTTAGGAAGGTTAGGGCGGACGTTGAGCGCTTCAAACGTCATCTCCTTGGATATTCATCATCAAACCAGTGAGTTTTCACGGCCCCACTTTTAATGCTTTTGTTTATTTAAATTGGGGGAAAAGCACGAAGTTATGCAAACTATACTGTTATTTATAAAATTGTTGGACTAAAGAACTGTTTAGTCAAAGATTGTTATTACCTGGACTAAAGAACTGTTTAGTCAAAGATTGTTTATACCTGGACTAAAGAATTGTTTAGTCAACGATTGTTTATACCTGGACTAAAGAACTGTTTAGTCAAAAATTTGTTTATGTCATGAAATATTGACTGTTTTGCACTATGATATAAATGCTAAATTGATGTACTTGGGAGTATGTTTCCAAATAAAGTCCCCRTCCGTAAACGCTACTTGTTAACTCGGRCATGTYCMCGGGCCGTGGTAATTGTGGATAGCCGCTATTGTGTTGACAGTCCCACCCAGAAAGGTGTGCACATTACCTATGTTTTCTTAGTCTAATCATGTGGAATTTGGACCACCGCTGAATTAGTACTACTACGAACCGTGGGACCTAAGTGAGTGTACGGGCTACTTATGGTCGTTCATAAAATAATGGGGCACATTGGTTAGGAAAGGCTCAGTAGCGTCTCAAGTTTTAAACGTCGTGGTAGATTTACATTTATTAAGTGCAAAAGATATGTATAGGTTTGCAAGAAATTATTTATGCATTGTAATGTTTTGTGCATATGAAAACCCGTGAGCTCACTAACTCTTTGTAGTTGACCTTGTTTTATATTTCATGCTTTTCAGGAAATAAGTAAGAAGTGAAGTTTTTGGGAGCATACTTGTGGCGATACCGATTAAGTTCACATTTGAAGTTTTTGTAAAGAAGTATTCTATCCCAATTTGGTTATGGAAGTTAAACTTGATTTATTTTTGTGAAACTTGAATGGTATTATTTATTATCTGCTGTTGTGACTCGCTTACCTGTTACACCTCGTGTTTCCGCTTTAACGGGGTGTGACAGATTAGTTATCAGAGCCTCAGTTATAGAGAACGCCGGTTTTTCCTTAAAAACCACAAAACTATAACCAAATATTTTCAAAACGGTTTTCAAGTGATTTAAATACATATTTATGCAAAGCGAGTCACGTTATCATATGTCGATTAAACAAAGACTGATCACCTATGTTTAATTTACGTATAATAGGACTTAATCAGTTGTACTAAAAGTATGCTCCAGGTAAGAAATTGTTGTGAAAAGCATGATTTTGTGTGTGTTGCATAAATTATGRATATCCATTGCCCTAGACCAACCAGAAGCACTGGTTAGAAGGACCAGA